CACTCCCGGGCTCAGGAGTCCCCTGTCCCTAGAGCAGAGCTCCCACGCCTGCATTTCTCTCCCCCAGGGGGCGCCCCGTGTTGCTCTTGCGGGCCTGAAACAAGCAGGGCTGTCTCCAGACCCGCTGAGCGCGGCAGTTGAGAGGTGGACAGTTAGTGAGAAGCCGGGAGAGGAGCATACCGACCAGACTTCCAGCAAGAAGGGGAGTTAGTGTTCTGGGGCTGCGGGAACAAAGTGCCGCAGATGGGACACAGTGCGTTCACTTTGGAGACAGGGATCCAGGTGTCCGCAGGGTGGTTCCTTCTGAGGCCTCTCTTCTGGGCGCGTGGATGGCCGACTCCTCCCTATGTCCTCATATGGTCATCCCGCTGCATATCCGTGTCCTGATCTTTTCTTAGAAGGACACCAGTCCTGTGGGAGTAAAGCCAACCCACGTGACCTTGTTTTAACTTGATTATCTGTGGAGACCCTCTCTCCAAACACAATCACCAGGGGTGCTGGGAGCTGGGGCTTCCAAGTGTGAATTTGGGAGGCATGCTTCAGCCCCCAGTGGAACGCTGGGGACACTCCCTTGATGGGAATCTTCTTGTGGGCTGCAGACCTCTGTCCTCCGTCTGCTGACACTATGCTTGTGGAATGGGAGTGTTCTCGTGACAACTGGTGTTCATTCACCTGGCCGCTTGGAATCTGGGGGGCCTTGTCAGGTGTGCAGCTTCTGCCACTGGCAGCATCTCCTGCTGCCCCTTGGGGTGTCGGGGTCTCTTCTCAGTGCTCTGCCCTGGAGGCCAGCGGGAGCCTTGCTTCCTGGGTCAGTCTGCAAGCTTGGGTTCAGCCCTGAGAGCCGGCCAGACTGCCTGCAGAAAGCAGGACGTGAAGCAGCTCTTTCATGGGCCAAGATAGGAACAGTGGTGCCAAGGCCTGAGGCCAAGGATGGGGAAGGGGTGGCGGTAGGAGGTGGGTAGTGAGGGGAAAGGGCTGAGAAGAAAGTTACTTCCAAGTAAATGATCGTCAGGGTGGGGCTCGCGTGCCCTGCCGCCCGAGGTGAAGGTTAACTGGGGGCGAGGCAGGGAGGCCTGATGGATGGTTCGGGGAGGGAGAAGGGCCACCTGGCTCTGCGGGCTGGAGGACAGGTGCCAGGAGCCCCGGGCGCTACGTTGGGACACACGGGAGAAGCACCCTCTCCAGCCGTGTGCCCCTTGTGTCCCCCCAGAGGCTGGTCATGGAGCAGGCTGCCCGGGGCTCCAGCCCGCCTGACCTCCGCCTGCAGTATCTCCACCAGATCCAGGCCAACCATGAGGTGAGGTCCTTCAGGGATCCACGCCCGGAACCTTCCCCCAGCCTGGGCTCCTCTGGGGACACGCACAGGCACTGGGGTGTTGCCCAGCTTGGCAGGGGCTCCCAGTCCTCACAGCCGAGTCGGGTCTGGGCTCCTGCTGCAGGGGTGAGGTGGGGACAGAGTGGGCATGGCCACTCCTCCAACCTGTCCCACATTGGCTAGGACACGCCTGTCCCCTGGGGACATGGTCTTCCCTCAGCCCAGCCACGCCTCCTGTCCCGAGGGGTCATCATGTTAAGGCCACAGATGAGTGTTTTTCCTGGACCACCTACCACAGTCCGAGTAGGACCTGCGCATGGTGGGTGTCCCCCAGAGGGACCCGCTGACGTGCCCAGTGGGAAGGTGGGGCCCTAGCTGTTGCCGCCCATTCCTTCCTGTAGACGCTGCTGCGGGAGGTGCAGACCCTGCGGGACCGGCTGTGCACGGAGGACGAAGCCAGCTCCTGTGCCACCGCCCAGAGGCTCCTGCAGGTGTACAGGCAGCTCCGCAGCCCCAGCCTCCTCCTGCTGTGATGCCAGGTAAACCCCACCCTGCCCCGGCTCTGTCCCTGCTTCCGGCCCCTGTAACAACTCACAGTACCTTCATGGTTTTATGGAGAAAACCTGGCTCCTGACCTGGGCGGCACTGTGGGCCTGGTTACAGCTGGGGAAGGTCTGGGGTGAGTGCAGCTGGCCCCCCGGATAGCCACCTGGCACCCCCGGGGGGGGGGGTGCTCAGAAGAGGCAGCTCGTTTAGCAGGTGTGTCAGGGTAGCGAGGTGGTCTGTGACCCCGCTGGGCAGGGGCCTGCTCGTCCTCCCGCATCACTGCTTCCTTTCCTCCAGCAGCTGCCACGGCCTCTGCGCTCAGCCTCGACACCGCTGGGCCGCCTCCCACCCAGAACGTCGGGGCTGGATCACGGACATCCCTCCACTCGGAAGCAGGGCCCCGGCCATGGCGTCCAGACTCCAGAGCAGGAGCGTCGTTGCTCTAGCGGCCTGCAGAGGCCGCAGAGACAGGGCTTCTGGGTTGAGCCTCGGGCGGGTGTGTTTTGGTGGTTGTCGCATTCCCACCGTGGTGCCCAGAGCCCAGGGCTGCCCCTCTTGGCAGCACCACCCGCCCACCCACAGACCTGTTGTCCAGCACTGTCCACACCTGTCCAGCCACCTTGCTCTGGGTGCCTTGGCCCCGCTTCTCTGCAGCCGCTGGGGTTACCGGTGGGAGGTGCTCCCTGTGACCAAAGCACAATGACTGTGGGGGAGGGGGTGTTCCTGCAGGTGCCCTGTGGCCAAAACAACAACTTGGTGCCTCTGGCCGGGGCCACACCCAGCGCCCAGCACTGTGCATTGTTTCCAAGGGTCCCTGGGGGCAGACAGCAGCCCCAGCGTGGCTCCGGTGCTTTGGCGGGGGGTGTCTCTCCCTCAGACTTCACGCGGTGCTTTCCTGCTGGTGCTTTCCTGCTGTGTGTGCAGGGCCTGTGAGGCACCCGCCTCAAGAAGTGACACTTTCTGGTGCTCTGCCTTGGCCTTGGCTGTTTTTTAGCTCTCCCCCTTCAGTCTGGTGGCAGGTTTGACCTGGATTCCTGGACACACCCCCAGCTCCAAGCCCCCAACAAGTCTGGTGGCCACTGCACGGCCCAGATGCGCCTTGAACTGACCTCTAGGGGGCCCTCAGGCCAGCAGGAAGCTTCAACACTGGAGTGAAGTGGTCCCTGCGGGGCCGTTCAGGCCATGAGGGTCACTGCCCAGGAGGACCAAGGCCACCTCCTCGTCGCCCTCCATGGAGGGAGGGGGGCTGGTGGGGTGCTCCGAGTTGGGGTCTGGGAGAGTGGCTGATCGCCACATGGACCCAGCACTGAAGGGTTCTTCAGGGTGGGAGGAAGATGGGGAGGGGGGCCAGCCCACTCAGTACTGTCCTGTTCCTTCTGTCCCTGAGTTTGCTGGGAGCAGTGTGACAGCTGCCTTCTCCACGGATGAGCAAGCAGTCCACCTCCAGCTTCTGCTGGTCCTTAATGCAGCGTGGAGGGGAGCTGTGGCCCAGCCAGTGAAGGGCCTGCACCCCCTTAGTCCTGTCCCCAGCTGTTTCTGAGGGTCATCTTTCTGTCACCTCCCTGAGTGCCACGGGGGAGGATGGAGTGGCCAGTCCAGCCCAAAGGGACCCCCAAGCACTCTTCCCTGCCTCCCCTCTCCAGCTGCTGCCCCAGGCTGTGCGGGCTCCACTCAGCGATTGTCTGAAGCCAAGTCCACTGTCTGGTCAAGGTCAGCAAACAGGAGACCCCTCCTTGGCACCCTGTGGAGCACCTGAGCTCTGGTGCCAGCTTCTTTCAGGTCAAGAGTGCCCCACAGATGAGCCCCCAACTTTCCTGTCCCATATGCCACCAGGGGGCAGTGCAGACCACAGCTCAGGACAGTCACTCGGTCCCTCTGGGGCCAGGCTCCTGCATCTGGTACTTGCGCGGTCAGTTGGAGCCCACTTTGAAGTGTGTTGGCCCATTTGGCTCCCAGCCCTTCTTCATTCCTAAGGTGAGGGGAGGCCAGCAAGGTGGGGAGTCAGCCAAGGGGGGCCCTGGGGAGAGACTGGGGAGGGGTCCTTGCTGGTCTTCCCCACCCCCAGGATGCCTCACCCCTTCCTGTCCTCCCTGGCCATATGTGTCCACTCCCCTCTGGAACCAGCTCTGCACTCCTTCCTTGCTGCCCTCCTTTCCCAAAGTGCCTCACACTGGCCAGACTCACTGGAGGTGGGGCTTCAGGCCCCAGGCAAGGGTGGGGGCTGCCCAGGGTGGGGAGAGGGGTGTGGGCTGAGGGGAAGGGTCCATGAGGTCACCTGTGTCTGTGGTCTCCCCCTACTTCAGGCTCTAGACTGTACCCCCAGCCCTCCATCACCCCAGTCCCCAAGGTCCAGGCCAATCCCTGGGGGCATGCCTCTCACCCCACTCCCACCTCCAATGGTCCAAGGTTACCCAGCTCATAAGAGACACTGCCCTGGGTGGGGGTCCTTGGGGACCCAGGGGTTTTGGGTGCCAGCTGGTTTGGGGAGGCACATGGGTGAACCATGGGCCTTGTCCTGGTCATCCACCCTTCCTAGGCTGGGTGGCAGCAGGCTGGTGCAGAGGCTGAGAAGGGTCCTCTCCCCCATGGCTGACCACACACAGCCCTGTTTGGGACAGGTGGGTGTCACTTCTCCATCAGGTGCTTCCAGGATTCTCTAAGACCCCGCCTTTGGGGAAGGGAGCAGTGATGTGCGCTGTGGAGACTCCAAAGACCCTCTGACCTACCTGACTTGCTGGGGCCTAGGACCAGGCTCCTTCCAGCTCCCCCACCCCCACCCCGGTCCTGCTGAGTAGAGTGGGGGTCCCCTCTCCCGGGCTTAGGGAGGGACGTGCGCCAAGGAGACACAATCCCGGGGGCGGGGGGCGGACAAGAGGAGGCCCGGGACTGGTTGTCCAGGGTGGGGTTGTGGGACGTTCAATCGGCTGGACCCCCCTGGACAAGCCCCAACCTTGGATTTTCTGGGCATGAGGGATTGGGGGGGAGGGGGTAGTTGTCCAGCGGCCATCGCAGGAGCCCCAGGGCGGAGGGGCCAGGGACTGCTCCTGTGCAGCACTCTGAGACCAGCGAGCCTGCAGACCCTCCGCGCACACCCTTCCCCACCCCGAGCGGCGCCACTGACCCGCGAGCCGCTGGTCACAGACACGGTTTAATGGGGGACAGGAGGACGGCACTCAGTACTCCCAGAGCGCAAACCCGGCCGGTGCGTCTGCGTCCGCGCGCAGCAGCCCCGAGGCGCCGCCGCGCAGGTACTTTCCGCTGCGGGCGCGGATGGCCAGGCGGCCGCGCTCACGGAACTCAAACAGGAAGTCCTCGGCGCGCTCGCCGTCGCTGCACACGCTGCCGTGGCTGCCGGTGTGCCAGAACCCGCCGCCGCGGCCTGGGGGATAAGGGGAGCGGGGGTCGGCGGGCGGCACGCTCCCGGCCCCGCGCTCCCCCTATCCCCCTCGGCGCCCCCCACTCTCTCCCGGCCCCAGCTCCTCGCGCTCCCCCCGCCCCCATCCCGCACGCCCGCACCTCGGATCTGGTAGGCGCCGTCGCTGAAGCTCAGGTGGAACACGTCGTAGACGGAGCGGTTGGTGTCCAGCTGGTTGGAGCCTCGGCGGTGGCAGACGAAGCCGTCCAGGCCCCGCAGCACGAGGATGGGCCGGTTGATGAGCTTGAGGATAAACTCCTCGTCCTCACCTGATGGCGAGAAAGGGGTTGAGGGGCCTTAACGGAGCTCCCCTGGAAGAGCTCCAGGCCCGGACTCACTGCCCAGCTTGTGTGCCTCAATCTGCCACTGCCATTGCCTTATGTGGCCTTAGCCAGGGGCCTGCGGCCGTTGAGCCCCCGGTTCCCCAGATGTGCAGCAGTGATCAGGGTGCTCTGGATCTGCTCCCCCACGTCAGGAACAATGATCTGGACTAGCAAGTATGACTACTGTCGTGGACAGCAGCAGCTTCACGGGGAGGGAGCGGGGCCAGCCCTCGTGGAGACAGGGTCTCCGAGCTGGCCCTGTCCCCAGGCAGAGGGCCCCCACCCCAGTCTCCCCAGGGAATGAGGGGAGTGCTCACCCACAAAATCGCTGATGGCCGCCAGCTGCCCATTCTTCTTCATGCACACATAGCGCCCATTGCTGGCCTTGAGGGCCACCCGCCGACCCCGCCACTCCATCTCAAACATGGTGTTCTCAGAACTGGAAGGGGCAGGTCAAGGTCCCCTCAGAGGAGCAGGACGTGGGGGCTTAGGGTCAGGCCTCCCCAGCCCCCTCAAGTCCAATACCACTCCCTCAGGGGGAGGGACGGGCACTTGCCTTCCACTGATACCCCCACCACCATTAAGAGCTGTCCCTCACCCCTGTGGGCATTCTTCCCTGGCTGGGCTGCTGTGTGGTCCCCGTGGTTGAGGTGGAGGTGGTGATGCAGGTGGTAGTGGTAATAGAGATGATGGTGGAGGTGATGATGGTGATGGTGGAGGTGGTGGTGGTGATGGTGATGGTAGAGATGGTGATGATGGAGGTGGTGGTGATGGTGGAGGTGATGATGGTAATGGTGGAGGGGGTGGTGGTGATGATGGTAATGGTGGAGGGGGTGGTGGTGATGGTGGAGGTGGTGATGGTGATGGTGGAGGTGGAGGTGAAGGTGGTCACAGAGGTGGGGATGGTGCACTCACACTTGTGTGGCTGTGGCCTGGATCCCCCCGTGGGTGACCAGGGTCCAGTAGCCCCCAGTGCTGGAATAGAAGGTGCACTTCCTTGTCTCCCGGTCAATTTGCATCAGGAAAGTTTCATGATCCAGTTCTTCGTCTTGGTTGGCTGAGACATTGATCCCTGGAGGGAGGAGATGGGAAGCCCCTCACGCCTCACCCTGGGTGGGGTGGGGAGCAGAGGGATGGGGAGGCATGCTCTTGGGGCAACCCTGAAGTCAGCGGGGGTCTCATCTAGAACCCTCTGGACTCTAGAAGATTTGGAGCTCTGCCCCAGGGCCAAGTGGGTGCGTCATGGACCAATACACACTGCTCCCTAAAGGTACTTGCCCAGCTCCCACCGCAGCCCCAGGAACCAGGCCCTTCCGTGCTGGCAAATCCCCTGCCTCTGCTAATCGTCAGGTAATCTGCTTGCTCCTGCTCTCTCGACCCAGGACTTACACCAGCCTCTATTTATAACTCTCCCTTAAGCCACTGGATGGACACTGGGGTCCTGTCCTTCCCCAGCCGTGGCTCAGGACACAGCAGGGGCCTGGGGTTTGCTCCTGGGCGCTGAGCAGGGATTGGACCCCTGTCACCTCCCCAGCCCCTCACTCACATGTGCGTGGTCTCCCAAGAACCCTGAGGGAGGGCAAGTCTACTTGGGGCTCTGCCTGGGGTTCCTGGGAGGGAGACGAAGGGGTCATCCATGACCAGGGTGGGGGCAGCAGGCAGGCCGTGGAGCCTCCCCAGTATCTTCCCTTAAACCACATCCCTGTTCCATCACAACTGGCCAAGAGATATGGCAGATCACAGAGGTCCCCTGAGGCTGGGCTCCAGTGGCTCCAGCTAGGGGAGCAGGAGGGAGTGTGGCAGACCCCCATCAGAGCCTGAGGGTCAGGGCCACATCCTGTCCTGCCCTACCCACAGCAGGTAGAGCCCAGACTGCAGAGGCCAGGACCTGTCACCCTTCATGGCTGTGCCCTCCACAGCCCCCCAGGCTGGGGTCTGTCACCCTTCTTACACAGATCATTGCTCAGAGCCAAAGAAGGTGACCCAGCATTCTCACTGCCAATCCCACCGTCCCATCAGCAATACTGAACAAAGTGAGCGCCAGCTGCCCCTGGGCCCGCGATCAGTAACAAAATAGACAGCGGCCCTTGCCCTTCTAGCACTGGTCCATGGGGGGCGGCGGACAACAAGAATTGTGGTACAGCCAGTGCCCATGAATGCTGTGGGTTTTGGCCAGGGACAGCCTCACTGAAGCACCTGAGGAGGTGAGAGAGCCATCCCCACAGGGTCTAAGTGGGGAACGAGGCTGCACCTCCACCCCCATCTCTGAGGCCAAGCCATTGGTGTCCCCAGCATTGCCCCACACACACCCGTTCCAGACAGGATGCAGCCTAGGGGCTCCATCTCACACAGCCGGCTGCTCCTGCGGCCCCGACCTTGAGGCAGGAGAGGCTCCATGGAGTGCTGGTTGCCCGCAAAGAGTGTGGACCCCACCGTTCCAGGGGGGATTGGTCAAGTGGTGGGTGTCTGAGCAGGAAGGGGTGTCTGAGAGCATTTACAGGAGAACTTTCCTTACTCCTGCGAAGACTCAAAAGAGCCAGTGCCCCTCTTTCCTTTGGACTTTGTCCTGTCTGGATGTGAGCCTGGAACAGCAGCAGCCGTCTTGTGACCACAAGGGCACCAGCGTGAGGTCAGAGCTGTCCTGGGAGAGAGGTTCCTCGAAGAGGAAAGAGTGGAGGACTTTGGTGATGCCACTGAGCTGGCAGTGGTGCCTGCCGGGGATCCCACCACCCCCGTGCCTGCAGACTTCCGTTTAGGTGAGATAATCAGTGTCCTTGTGGCTTAAGCCAATTTGCGGCCATTGTTACTTGCAGCAACGAACACTGCCTGCTGGGCGGCCCCACAGCAATGCCACATCAGTGAGGGCCGGCAGCGGGCACAGCAGAAACAGAGCCTGGCTGATAGAGGCTGCAAAAGAAAAATATTGGCAGGAGAAGCCAGGGTGCTCACAAACACTCCAGGGGGCAGGAGACGGGTTTGGGGGCTGCCTGACCAGCAGAATGACAGGGACCGAGAAACCACCACTCCACAGATGCCGCCACTCCAGCTACCTTGGAATCTAGTGGCACCGCTCCCCTCCTCCCGCAGCACTGAGATGCCACACTGCACTTGCTCGAATCACTGGTAGCCAAGTCAACATCTGAATATCTCGGGGCCAGGTCCTATGCCCTCAGGCTTATTGTAAGCAAAGCAGGGAGGCGAATGTGCGGTACCTCTGGCCTCTATAGTGGGAGGCAAATCTGGTCCTTTGTGGGGGACATCCCCCATTAAAGGGATGGGGTCAGATGCAGGGTAGTCCAGAGAATGAAAAATGGTTTGTACAGCTACCATCCCTCACCACCACCATCATCATCACCACCATCACCACCATCTCCATCACTACCAGCACCACCACCATCACTAGCAGAATCACTAGCACCGTCTCTATTACCACAGCCTGTCTTACCATCACCACCACCATCACCTCCAGCTTCAGCACCATCCCCACTACCACCACCACAAGATTCACAAGCTGAACAGGGACAAATACTTTGTATCCAGCATCTCCTTTGACTCACAGAGAAAGCTTTTTCACACTGCTGCCCACCCTTTAATGACAAACCAAGCATATGGGCCTTGGCCCAGGTCAGAAAGCAGTGTGGCCAGACAGTAGGACCTGACATGGGAAGGACCAGGGCTGTCTGTCTTCCCTCACGCCCCAGGACCCGACCACATGCCGCAAGTGCTTGGGGGTGTTTGCTGAATGCCGGTCCCTGCTCTGCGCTAGCCTTGAAGACCTGGACTACAGGCTGGGGCCCCTAGAGCCACAGCTGGGCCACCCCTCCAGGTGCTCAGGGCCGGGTCTCTCCCTTCTGGACCAGGTGGTGGCAGTGAGCCGGCTCAGGGTATGCCCAGCCACTCCTGGGTGCACAGAGCCAGGAGCCCAAGCAGCTTGGGGCCACTCTGGGACCTCACCTTCTTCGAGGGGAAGTAGGAACTGCCCACGTTCACCCCACAGGCATGTGATCCCATGTGGAAGGGCCCACCGGTCACATGAAGCAGGTGACCGATGATCCAGGACTTGGGGGGAGCCACGCCACACCTGTTGGGTAGAGACAGTGTCTCCCCACCAAGGAGTCCAGGCCCTGGAGGGGCCGCTTACATCCCGCTGGACTGGAGGAACCCCAAGACCCCTCCCCACTCCACTCTTGCTGTCTCTCCTTGCCCTGCCCTTGGTCGCCTTCCAAACCCTTTAAAGTTCAGAAGTGGGGTGATAGAAGGGAAGGGGAGGGGCGGGCAGGGGGCCAGCCCAGTGTGGGCGGGGCCTGCCCTCCTACCCCTCATAGCAGCTGGCCTGGGCCTCAACCACCTCCAGATGAGCGCTGCCCATCTTGCATCCAATAGCTGTCCAGCGGGCCCAAGGCTCAGCAGGGACCCCATATGTGGCCCACAGCCCACCCACCTATGCTGTGTGCTGCCACACACATGTCCCCACCCATCAGCCGCAGTGCCACTCGCTGCACGAGCCCCACGCTGAGAGCATGGCCGGCCCCGCACCCTCATTACCTTGCCGCACAGACACGTAGCGGTGGTTGGCGGCCACCAGCACCACCTGCGGGTGACTCTCCTCCAGGTCGAAGAGCTCATCCTTGCCGGGCCGTGTGTTGCGGCCAGCCCTGAGTGTGCCTGTGGGTCCCACGGGCGCCAGGTAGCGGCCGTCGCAGTCCTTGAAGGCCAGCTTGCCCGCCTTGAACTCGAGTGTGTAGCGGGTGTGAGCCTCAGGCTCCCAGACAAGGCGGCCATCGCTGCGCAGGTAGCGGCTGTCGCAGGACTTGAGGCAGTACTGCCGGTTCTGGAAGATGAGCGTGACGAGCGCGTCCACGCCCCACGGTGTGTTGCTGTCCGCCGCGATCTCGTCTTCCTGCGGGCACAGGTGCGCGTAGCGTCGCCGGCTCACACTCAGCAGGTGGGCCTGCGGGTGGATGGCCAGGTGCACGGTCCACAGCTCAGCCGGGGTGATGGCTGTGGCGAAGCAGGACAGCTGGTCCTCAGTGCCGCCGAAGAAGCGGCCGTGCGGCTCCGACTGCAGCGCCCAGCGCCCATCAGGCTGCGGCAGGACCAGGAAGCGGCAGTCGGGGCCCGGCCGCTCCGCCTCGCAGGCCACGCGCCCGTCCTCCTCGGCTGACAGGTAACGGCCCAGGTGGCTGCTGCGAAACAGCACAGCTGTGCCCTGGCCCGGGTCTGGCTCCAGCAACCACATCTGCTTCCTCTTGAGGCTGGGTGCTGAGGCGTTGACCTTGAAGCCGAAGCTCTCAGCCGTCAGGTAACGGTCAGTATCATTGACGAGGCCGAACTGGATCTTCAGCACCTGGTGTAGGCCATTGGTGGGCATCTTTGGGCCTGGCTGAGGTCCCCAAGAGGGGCCTGGGAAGCTCTCTCTGTGTGCTCACGGCCCCCGAGGTCCCCCAGAGGCCTGGCTCGACGGGGTCGGCCCGTGGCCCCCAGGCCCAGCCGGCGTCATGGACCTGCTGCCCGCTCGGATGCTGCCTCTGGCCAGCGGTCACGGGCCCAGGCAGCTCTTACATGGCCAGCGGGCAGCAGAGGGCGGGTGGGAGGGCGGATCAGAGCTGTGCCGGCTTAGGAACAGCAGCAGACTTTCGTTACCCCAGCTTGGATTTCAGCCACTCCCGGACTGCCCAGGGGCCAGAGCCCAGGGCCGGCAGGGCTGGAGAGCGCCACCCGCCACAGGGCCGACCACCTCCTTGTCCTCGCTGGCAGCTGCCCGGGCCCCAACGCGGGCTCTGTGCCCCGGCCTCTGGCCACTGCACGTCTTGGCCTCTCTCCTTGCCCCCCACCTCCGGGCCCCCAGACCCACTGCACAGACTCCCCAGCCCAGCCCAGCTCTTTCCTGAGGTAGAGAAAGCCGCCTGGTGGAAAACTTGCATGTGGCCGCAACCCGATCGCAGCCCTCCACCCTCAGCCGCCAGATCCAGTTACCGCTTCTCTGATTCCTGCTGCCAGGAGTGCGGCAAGGCCCCCAACCCGGGCGGCCGCAGCTGAGTCGCATGCCATCCCCCTCAGTGGCCCCTGGGTCACAGCCTGCAGCCCTGAGTCTGATGCTTCCCGAGGGTGGCCTGTGGCTGGGAAAGTGGCAGGCAGGGCTGTCGGTGCCAGTGAGTGGGGCCAGGCGCCCCACCCCCATCCTGGCACCCATGGCACCCAGATCCGAACCAGGTGTGGAGAGGCAGCCGCTTGGCCGAATGCACACTGGCCGGGGAGCCTGGTGCGTTGGGCCCCGGGAAAACAGCCCTTGGTTTGGGCTGAGGTGGCAGCTGTATGATGGAGAGTTACACCCGCCTTGCAGGTGGCACAGTGGGAGGGTGACATGGGAGCATGAACGTGGAGAAGACATGATTCCAGGCAGCACAAGGAGGTGGCAGGCTGGTCAGACTCAGGGTCACGGGGCCAGGCTCTGACCTGAGCCCTGTACCCTGAGCAACTCTCAGGGCCCGTAAGGTTGCTCTGTCTTCTACGGGCAAGCTCTGGTGAAGCCAGCCTTGATGGTGGCCTTGGAGACCCCTGATCTGCCGTTCACATTGCCACAGCGACTGGCCTGACTGCAGGGTCTTTATGGGCTGGGTCCGGGGATCACATAGGGTGAAGCTTTCCCAGCAGAGGGACGAGGCCAGCAGGCTAGGAGAAGCCAGAGCTGGCTACCTCTGACCTGGCATCTCCCAGCCCAGCCTCTGGGGCCGCCCCATTGCACCTCCCCGCGCCCCCGACGCTAGGCCTGGGGGGCTGTCTTCGGGAGCTGCAGCGGGCCTGCTCAGCTTTGCCCTGCCTGTCTGTCTCTTGCACCTGCCTCAGGGGCTGGGAGCCAAGTAGTGAAACCAGAGCTGCCTGTCCTGGGCCCGGGCCAGCCTTGGTGTCCTCTTCCTCATCACAGCGTGTGACCCTCAGGCCTCCCTGCTCTGGGGACCAGGACTGGGAGCCACAGGGCACTTCCAGCCACGGCCCCCAGAGTCTTGCCCTTGATGTTCTAGGCATCACCGCTCCATCCCTTTCGAGGCCATATGGGGGTCCAACAGAATGAAGGGGCCTTGGGCCGGGCATGCACAGGCCCCAGGGAGTGGGTGGGGCAGAGGGGCACATGGGTCAGGAGTCGTTCCTCCATTTTCCAGGTCCCGGACAATGACCTCCCCAGGCACGTGCAGACACTGAGGAGGAGACCAGGAGCCCTGATTCCTTGCTTGGGGGTTTCAGATTGGCGTTCAGGGAGGTAGGCCTGCACACAAATCCCCATGACAGTGTAGTGCACGCCACAGGTCAGCTGAGCGGGGGGCTGGTCTTGCTCTCCCTGGGGGCTACTGCTGTCCACCTCTGCGACCCACACGTTTATAGGGCATCGACTGGGTGCCTGGCTAGGCTGCGTGCCAGGTACCCCATGGTAGGGAGATGCAGTCTGGGGTTGCACCCCCCTCCCCAGAGATGATGCCCACAAATCCCCCCAAGTTCCTATGGGACTGGGTTGCCCAGGGAAATGTCCTGGTTTGGAGGTACAAGCCATGATGCTGTCCACACTTCAGGCCACATGTGTACGGGGGTGGGGGGGTGGGCTGAGGGGCAGCTGTGCCTATGGCCACCTCCAGGCATGGGCACTGGTCTCTCCTCTGCACCCCCAACTCCCAGTCAGGCTGCAAAGGAGCTGGCCTGTTCCGATTAGCATGACGGCCTCATTAGCGCTGACTGGTGCTGGCAGGGCGCTCATGGGCATCACGTGCCCCACGGGAGGAAGCCCAGCCGCCAGGCGCTAAGTGGGCCTGGCTCCAGGCAGCTTCTCAGCAGCAGAGCCAGAAAGAAGGGCCTGTGGCCTCTCAGTTCTAGGGCCCCACAGCCCCAGGTGGGGGCGGGGTGGGGCTCCTTGGCACTAACCCAGGGGTGTGAGCCATGGGCTGGCCTTTCAGGCCCCAGGGGGACTCTGAGAGGCGAGCCTTCCAGCCCAGGCTTCCTCGGAGGGAGGTAGTTTGCACAGATGGTCCCCCCTCCCTCCCTCCCCCTCAGGATCTCAGGCCCTCGTCAACTGCCTGCTAGGGTCATGGTTCCTTTCTGGATCCCCCGAAAGATTCTGGCACACAGTAGGTACTTAAGAAGTGCCTGTGAATGTTTGATGTGGGATTCTTCTGTGATGGGCTGAGCCTCTGCTGATAGATGGGGTGGGGTGCATGGGAGTCTGGGCCCCTCGTGTGTGTGTGTGTGTGTGTGTGTGTGTGTGTGTGTGTGTGTGTGTGTGTGTTTAAGTACACACAGACAGGAACTGGGCAGAGTGCGCCATGGCCACCTGCTGGGTCAGCCCCAGTCTGGAGACGCTGCTCTGGATCCCAGCCTCAGAGCCCACTCGTATCTGCCCAGCAGGGCGACCAGGCTGTGCACAGCATAAGGGAATGTGTTTCAGGGGCGCTCCTCACACCCCAGATGTACACTCCTCATGAGAGCCTGTGGCGGGCTGGCTCCTCAGGCGATAGGGAGCACCCTTCTCACAGAACCCCATCCCCCGCCAGAACTTGTCCACACAGCCGCCCACTTGCAGCACAAACGTGCCCACCACTGCCCTGTCCAGCCTACACTCCGGGGCATCCAAAGTCCCTGCCACTCTGGGACCCCCATTCACCTGCCCCTGCTCACTTCTGAACCTGACACCGTCCCTTCCCAGGGGTGAGGGCACAAACCCCGTGTGTCCACACCACCCTGGGCTCGCATCTGCAACCTGGACCAGGCCTGGGCACAGACGTCAGGCCACCTGACACACCAACTTTAATATGTTTGACTTGAGGAGGGCACCTTTTCCTAAGGTGAGCAGCACCTCTGGCTCCCTACTTCAGGGAGTGGCCACCTGCAGATGGACACAGCCAGATGGCCCCTTATGGCCACAGCTGGGCCCAGAGGGCAGGGGTGGCCTCAGCTGTCAGAGGCTCCAGCAGAAAAGGCTGGGGCCGATCCTCAGCCTCTTGCCCTCTTAGTGTCCAGCTAGGGCCAAGAGCAGAGAGGGCCTTAGAGCCCCCCAGGCCCCTGGCATCCACCCTGGAGCTCTCAGGAAACCGTTCCTTTCCTGGGGTGCTGGGGGATGGGCAGTCTTGGCCATTTGGAGGGTCCACCTCCCACTCCACCCAGCCAGGCTCCTCTGGCGCTACCAGGGAAAGCACGCCCACCTCCGCACGTCTAGACAGCCAGCCCTAGATGCTAGAGCCCAGCCTGGGCTCCTGCCAGCACACTACCTGCTGCCATGGTGACCAGCGCATGCACCAGGCTCAGTGCCCGGGCAACACTGATGCTGGTGGTGTGAGTTGGCACAGGTGCTCTGTGTGTGCAGGCTGGGGGAAGGGGCCCTCCCCACCTCAGCTGGCCTGGAGCCTGGAAACTGGGAAATGGCCCAGGATGGAGGCCAGGACAGCCCCACCGGCTGAGGGACCTCCACAGTCACACCTTTCCCAGACTAAAGTCTTGGCCCCCTGCGCTGAGCAATGCCAGACAGACCCATCCCGCAGGGCAGTGAGTCTCTGGGAATTACTCCTCCCAGAGGAGATCCCCAGTGCCCCACCCCGCTTTCCAGAGCCTGCGCCTCAGCCCAGGCCCTGCCCAGCTGCTGCTCTAGTTGGCATTCCTCTCCCAGGCCGTCCCGGGTACTCTGCCCCTCCCATGGCCAGGCCTCCGCCACCCCTTTGGCCCTCTGCCCCCGAACTTCTTGGCCCCGCAAGGAGGTGAGGGCCACTCTGCTGGTCCAGATGCTGCTGGGCACAGCCTGAGGCCCTGATTTCTTCACTCCTGGGCCCATCACCTTCTCCTGGGGTCCAGCTTGGCAGGCACCCAGGGCCCAGCCTCCTGCATTGTTCCTGAAACAGGCCCACAGCTTGGTGTCCTCATGATTTTTTCATGGCAGAGCTCTCCGCTGCCCCACAGTTCCACTTACATGGGCGGGCGGGGGCCTAGGTTGGTTTACTGGAGGCCTGCAGGCGGTTTAGGGTGACAGTTCCCCTCAGCAGGGCAGAAGGGAGGGGGCTCGCACATCTCAGACTGCGCTGTGTGTGCAAACACTGGGGGTGCCCAGCCTGTGCCTCCCGCTTGCTCCATGTGAAAATCCACACCCACCACCATCTCTCAAGACCCCTCCCTTCCCCCACCCTATATCCCCCTCAAGACCCTCGTCTTCACACACACGCACCCAGATACACACAGTCTTGGCAAAGCAGCTCCTTGAAAACCTCTCCTGCCTGGTCCCCCCGCCCCACTTCAAGCAGAGAGCTGCTGGCTGGGCTGGGGAGGCCCCCACTTAGAGCTTTCAGGGTACAAAGCTGGTGCAGTCTCCTGGCTTTTGTCTCTTATAAAACCATAAGGTCAGGGGGCGGGGAGAGGGGGAGATGAGGGCTATATCCAGCAGGAGAGGGGAGGGAGAGACCAGAGGCCTCTGGAACCCAGCAAGGCCGAAAGTTCCCGAAGGGACCACAAGGACAGGATTGAGGGCACCTCAGCAAGCTCAGATGTCCCATGACCACTGGGCAATCTTCCAGCACCCAAACCTCAGGACCTTTGCACATTCCTGGGACAAGAGAGGAACACTTGCAATATCTGAGCGTGAGCCCCGGCTGCATGGGGCTGAGTGAGGAACAGGGCAACTTCATCAAAATGTGCATATTTACTGCCCACCTGGGCTTGCAGACACACAGGTGCCCAAGATGTGTCAACACCTGGCATGGACGATCAGGAGCTCACAACTCCGCAGGTGACCATGGCAGCCTCTGCCCAGCCCCTGTCTATGTGCGCCTTCACACACATGCCCAGACACACACACACACAGACACACACACACAGACACCCGTGCACAACACCAAAT